GTATTTATACCGCCTATACCGACCAATGTTATTGATGAATTCCGGTTCCATCTTTTCATCCCATTTTCCACCCAAAGCCACCGAACCTTTACTTTCCAATTCCCTAAGAAGAACGGAATCACATTCCCGGTCTTCCAATTCCACCCGATCACTAGTATCCCTTAGAAACGACATTCTCACCTCGGAATCCCAAAACAAAGGATGATGCAACACATCCACAGCCCTTGGCCTACAATGCAAATTCTTTATTAATTTAAAACGTCAGAGGACTGAAATTGTAATTTTATAACTTTACCTGAGTTCAGGGTTAGGGTTTAGTAATCTAGAGAAGAGGTCAAAAGCTTCCGGAATATGTCGAACTAAAAAAAGGTTGACTCGGTTTTTGACCACATTCACATCACGTTCAAGATGATCACCAAATGGGTGTCTGCCACATGTCATGCAGAAAAACAGGACACAACCTAAACTGAACAAATCTATCGCACGTGTTTGGCGTCCATGAAGAAGTTGTTCGGGTGCTTGCCACCCTGAACTTCCGGAACCTGACGAAAATAACCCGTAACAATTTACAACGTGTCAAAAACAGCCCGGTTTTTGTAATTAAGTTGGTTTTATCTTCTTACCAGTAGCATGGAGTCCTAATGACAACATGTCGCCAACGAGGCGTCTGCTAATTCCCATGTCAGAAAGCTTCCCACATATTGATTTTTCTTTGACTATTAACACATTGTGTGGCTTTAAATCCCGATGAATGATCCCTAATTCATGCAAATGAACAAGCCCAGATACTATATCCCTATAATAATAATAAACATCAAAGTAAAGATATAAATAAAGTAACACATGTAAATAAAGTACAATGTTGTTGTTATAAATGGTTGGATGTACATGTACCTCATCAATTTTAACAAAATAGGCGAAGGGTATCCATTTGGTTTCCATAAATGAACATCATGCATGATGATGTCACGATTGATTGAATCTAATTCTAAACCCCCTTTCTTCATTTGAATTAAATCATAAAGGCTACAAGCACAACGCTCCAAAGAAAGATAAACAAAATCATGATCATATTCCACTCCATACCACCTAACAATATTTGGATGTTGATCAGAAGCAATAAGATTTTGAATTTCTTTAAATGCAACATCATGGTGGGCCCTCACGAGGCGTTTCACAGCAACCTTACGACCTTCGTATACCCCTTCAAGAACAACTGTTCCATTACTACCCTTTGCAATTTCTTTATTTGACACAAATAGTTTGCCTATAGAACGCCCTTCTGTGTCACATTCGATTAAATGATTAAAATTTAGCACTGGATTTCTTTCACTATCAACATTTCCATCTTCATTGGCATAAATCCTTCCTTGTTTCCTATGCCTCTTCCTTCTAGAAGAAGAGGAAGGTTTTTGTTTCAACATTGCAGCCATTATGGTATGATGGCGATACATAAGACCACCAATGGCAATAATCAGAATGAAAATTACAACAAACGCCATTCGCCCTTCGGAAAGAAAGTTGACTTTTTTCACATCTTGTTGACTAGGGATTTCGGGGTTTTGGGTGTCAAGGTTATTGTTTGAATTGGGTAGTAAAGGTTTATTTTGAGGGAGTAGAAGGATTGGAACTTTTTTTTCTGCTTGTTTTCCATGGATTTTATAAGAACCAAGCTTATGAGATGTACGTAGCCTATGGACAACAGCTTTTGACTGGCATGACAAGGGCATGTTGAAGTCAAAGTCAAAGTCAAAGTCAAAGTCAACACTGGATTTTGAGCGAAGATTATTTGGGAGAGGTAAAGACGGACGAATGATTTTATTTGGAGGTTCTTGACAAAGTAAAGCAACATCAATGTCTGCTACAGTCACATTCCATAGAACTTTGTCAGAATTTGCAGCAAATGATGTGAGTAAGTAATCTGTTCTTGTGAAGGAGAATTGTTTATCAGGTTTTTCATTGACCATAGTTGACTTTTCATTTTTCATGGTGGTTTTTTGGAAGATGAAATTTGAGTGTTCATTGGTTGATGAGCTGTGATGAACACGTATTAACCTTCCAGTGTTAGCATCAACTACAAATGCAGTAGTTTTTTTGGATCCAAGAATAACTCCTCCATCCTCTGATACGTGTGGCATGATTCTGATGAATTCCTCCATGGTCATATCCATACTCTGTAAGTTACAAATAGGTAGTTGAAATTGAATAATAAAGTACATTGTTGATATTGGTAGCAAGAGTAAAGTTTCAGAAATTTACCACTTTGCCAAGATCTGTGTGTGCATACAGCTTCCAATCATCCCCACAGTCTACATAATAACTGCCTTCAGGCACAGGTGCACTTTCCTTATCATCATCATGGCTGGTAGAAGCCTGGTATGAAGAGTAGATTGGAGATCCTGATGCAAATGACCAAATTATCCTCCCAGAATCACGATACACCAAATTGATTGTACCATCCAATGCAGCAACAAGGGCAGTGTCATGATTACTGTTTGGAGAGAGAGGTATGTAAGTGCATGAAAGAGAATTACTTCAAATGATACTACAAAAAAAGTACCCTAATATCATAAATTTGCAAAATTATGTTGAGTGCAGCACTCTGCTTATGTAAGATCATGTTTATCTTGGTTAATTGTGGTAAAATCCTGAACCTTAATTAAAAAAGCCTTTGCACTTGTTAGAATGAAGAGCAAACCCTGTGTAGAGTATGTGAGAGTAAGCAATTATAACATTCATAGTTACAAGTTTATTGCAAAGGAACCATTGTGAATTGCATAGAATTGCCCATTCCAACAAATAAGGGGAAATTGGAGTTATAATAAGTAATATGGGACCAAAATCGAGCCAAGCTGAAGTTGAGAACAAAATTCATGGTAATACTTCAGTTCAACCGAAAGAGCAAAATTTACAGAACCCAAACTACATGGCAGCAGCATGGATCGATATACAGATCTTCACCTTGATAAAGAGGGAAAACAGAATGGCAGCAGGCAGCCATGTGTACATGCATGAGAAGAAACTGTTCATCAACAACCTCAAATTAACGAGTAAAAAAGGAGAAAACTTACTCCGGAAAAGATAACAGAGACCGCCTAGCCGGTGCTTGATTGACTTTCGAGATTTCCAAGTTTTGAACGCTGTCAATCGATCCAAACAACAGCAAAAAGAGCAAGAAATCGGCAAATAAATAGCGGATCAAGGCGTAATTCATCGATTGCGATTGATTCTGATAGCAAACAGGGTTGGATTGATTGTGAATTGAACTCAATTTGCTACCAAATCATAATGATTTAGGGTAAAAATTCAACTTCGTAAGACGACTATGAAGGATATGCAGGGAACGAAGGATTGCCGGAGGAATATTCGAAGTTATATGATATAACAAGAAAAAAAATAAGTTTAATGATGTTTTTTGACCATTTGGAAAAGATTTTTACCCATCTAAGTCATTTCATTTTCCTATTAAGCATTTACTAATTGTACAATCAACCAACTAATTAAATCTATCATATCCATTTCAACAAAACCTAAGCAACAGAGATACTGGTTTTCTGTTAAACCATCACATTTGCAGATGTTTCAACATACAAAAATTTCACAAGAATTTAAACGTCGATTGCAATAATCACTTTTCCACAAGTTAAAACAAAAGACTATACAAAGATTGCAAGATATATGAAATCACAGGCTTCAAGTTTCACCTTTCAACACAGGAAAACCTTTAAACAACTTCAAACACGAAGATTTTATGCAGTTTTTCAAAGCAATTTTCAAATACTCAAATCCAGATATCATCTCAAGTACACTAGTCTACAAAAATCTAACATTCATTAATCAAGATTTCAAGATTCATCATCAATCCAACTCCTTTTCAACCTTAATCCCCATAGATTTAGCTGTACCTATAATTGATTTTGAAATCGCCTCCAAGGACATGTACTGACAATACGGATCTGCTTGCTTCACCTTTGCGATTTCATAGATGTGTTTTAGGGTTAGGGTTGATGCAACAACATGACCTGCACGTCCACTCCCGGAGTCAATTCCGGCGGCTTTTTTTAGAAACCAGGTGACTGAAGGAGAACGAACGCTCAATTCAAAAGTATTGTCTTTGAAAACAGTCACAGTAGCAGCGATTGGAGCTTCCGATTTGTATTTCTGTGTGCGAGCGTTGAAGTCCTTGCAGAACGCCATTAGGTTAACTTTGTACTGACCTACAGCCGGACCTACCGGTGGTCCAGGTCTTGCTCCGCCGGCTGGGATGGTGAGACGGACTGTCGCCGCCACTGGCCGACGCGTTAGAATTTCCTTCAGGGACGCCATTTAACTACAACCCGAACAAGAACATAAAAATTGGAACAGTAAAACGAAAAAACCTAAACGCTAAACTACGAGATGAAGAAATTAAAAGAGAAGGATAACAGAATGATGTATGTGCTTGTTGTGGAGTGTGAATGAGTCGAAAAGTCTGATTTTTAATAGCGACAAAATTGCAAAAATGGTCCCTGTGTTTGGCAAAATTATGCGACTTTGGTCCAAAACGATACTTTGATGCAGCACTGGTCCAAAATTGGATTTTTCCATTGCTTTTGGTCCCTCCTACTAACTTCCGTCCATATACTCCGTTACATGCAACAAAGACGGGGGTATTTTCGTCTTTCCACCTCCATATCATCGATTACCGCCATATTGAATGATATACACAGTTAATGACCCTTCACTCTACGCACTAAACCCACTTCGTTGATCGAAAACCCTAATCGTTCATTGAAATCTTGCATTTGGTCATCAACCGCAATCGTAAGTTTGAATCCACGAGTATGGTCCAAATGTGGGAAATCAGGCCAAGAAATCAGTGTTTTGATGCAATCTGAATTTACGGTAACGTACTCTGTTTCTTACATATTTCTTTGAAACAAAAAAAAAATCTTTTACAATCCATATAAAGTAATGTTTTTTTGGTTTGGTTCATGATTTTTACAGAAGGACATCCCACGATGTTCACTATTGAGCTCCATCATGGAGGGAGGTTCACAAAATTTCCAGGGATAAGCTATAATGAAGGAAAATTAGACCACATTGACTTGGTAGACATGGATGAGTTCTCTGTGCATGAGTTGGATGAGGTGATGCTGAAGCTTGGTTATGATGTACCACCAGTCATTTATTACCACTATCAATTGCCAAATGGAGATTTGGAGTTTGGTCTTAGAGCTCTAGGGAATGATATTGATGTACTTAGTCTTGCACAGTACATTGAACATCATAAGATCATCAAGGTATACACTGAACATAATGAAACTAAGTTACTTACATACTTTATGTCTCCAAGAGTTAAACCTAGGGTCATAATTGAGGAAATAGCAGATGATGTGCCCACTGCAACTGTTGGTGATCAAGATGTCCCAAATCTTGAATTGTGTTTAGTAACATATGAGACACCCAAATACAATTCAAATAAGAGATTGAGGTTAGTTGATGGGAGTCAATCATGTAGTAAGAAATTGTGTTTCAACTTGGAACACACTGCAGCTGTTGGTGATCAAGATGCAGATGTTGAAATTGGTAATGAAGGTGCAAATATTAGTGAGCAAGGTGCAACTGTTGGTGATCAAGATATTAGTGAGCAAGGTGCAACTGTTGGTGATCAAGATATTAGTGAGCAAGGTGCAACTGTTGGTGATCAAGATGCACGTGTTGAAATTGGTAATGAAGGTGCAAATATTAGTGATCAAGGTGCACCTGTTGGTGATCAAGAGACAGAAGTTCATGATCAAGCTGCAAATCTTGGTGACCAAGAAGTAAATACAAGAGAGTTTGATACCTTTGATGGCCAACCATTTCAATTTGAAGACTTTGATCCTTTCTTTGATGCAGATGATGTGCCCACTGCAACTGTTGGTGCAGAACTTGGCACAGGATTAGGTGAAGTTCAATTTGAAAGTGAGGAAGTTTGTGAAGGACTTGGTGAAGGAGGTAGTGAAGGGGGTAGTGAAGGGAGTGAGGAAGACAGTGACTTTCTTGAAGATGAAGAAAACTATGTAAGTGATATTGAGGTGGACATGAGTGATTTCTATATGAATGTTGATCTAGATGTTGAATATGTTCCACAGAGGAAAAGGTGTTGAGACTGAAAATGAAGTTGTTGATACAGAAGATGTTGAAGATGTTGAAGTAATTGATAATGATGAATGGGACTCATTAGGTGAAGATAGTGATGATGAAAGAAGGAAAGCAATATTAAAACAGATGGTGAAGGAGAAGAAGTGCTCTCTTGGTGAAGTCCATGCAGTTACTTTTCAAGTGGGTCAAAAGTATAAAAGTAAAAAGGAAATTAAGGACAAAGTCAACAAACTTGCCATTGAGACTAGAAGGAATCTTGGCTTCAAGAAAAACGACAAAACAAGGCTTAGGGTTGTGTGTAAAGGTAATGTACCTAATGTAAATGCAAGTGGGGTAGGTAAGGGCAATAAATTTAATTGTTCTTGGTCAATGCAGACTTCACGGTCAAAAGATAGCGATTATTGGTATGTGAAAACTTTACTGGACAAACATACTTGTGTTCAAACTATAAAACTTAGGGCTTGCACTGCGAAGTATATATCTGCAGAAATCTTAGACATGGTTGAGTCTAACCCTACAGTACCCCTTCGAAGCATTCAAGAGTAAGTTCAGAAGAGGCTACAAGTTGGTGTGTCCATACACAAAGTACAGAGAGCAAAAGCAACAGCTACAAAGCAAGTGAGTGGTGACTACACAAAGCAATACGAGGTGTTAAGAGATTATCTTATGGAACTACAAGCAACTAATGTGGGTACAACTGTGAAGCTTGAGGTTGTTAATGAGCCTAACAGTACTAGAGAAACAAGGCAGTTTAAAAGGGTGTATATTTGCTTAGGGGCATTAAAGAAAGGGTTTAAAGCAGGCTTAAGAGATATTCTGGGACTAGATGGTGCTTTAATGAAAGGACCCTTTCCAGGCCAAGTACTCACAGCAGTTGGATTGGATTCAAACAACGGCATATACCCACTTGCATATGCCATTGTTGAGACTGAAAATATGAGTAGCTGGAAATGGTTTCTAGAATGCTTGGGAGATGACTTAGAGTTGCACTCAAATTCTAACTTTACTTTCATGAGTGATAGACAAAAGGTACTATTTTCTTCTTTTTGTATTACTACTAGTTTATTTGTATATGATTGTTGCAATGATTATGTAGAATGCTTGGGAGATGACTTAGAGTTGCACTCAAATTCTATACAGGGACTCTTACCTGCTATTGCACAACTATACCCACAGGCTGAGCATCGATTCTGTCTAAGACATATTTATGAGAACATGAGGAAAAAATGGAAAACAAAAGAGTATAAAGATCACTTATGGCAGTGTGCAATAGCAACCACAGTACCAGAATTTGAACACTACATGAATGAACTTAACAAGTTTGATAAGGATGCTTTTGAGTGGTTGAAGAAAATCCCCCCTCACCATTGGGCCAGAAGCCACTTTTCAGGTTATATTCCCTAGCTTAGGTGAAGCTTTACTATTCCTCTTTGTGTATGATTTAGTTCATATAATTTTCTTGTTTAATACAGGCAGAGCAGGATCAGATATATTGCTCAACAATTTATGTGAAGTTTTCAACAGTAAGCTTATTCATGGTAGGAATAAGCCCATCATAAGTTGTCTTGAGTACATCAGGCAGTACCTAATGAAGAGGATCTGCAATGTGAAGAAAGTGATGTCCAAAGCTCCAGGTCCACTCACTCCAACAGCATCAAAGTTACTTGAGAGAAATAGGGAAGCTTCAGTCCAATATAGAGCTAGATGGAATGGGACTGCAAAGTATGAAGTTTATGGTCCTTGGCATGACCAGCATGTGGTTGACATGACAAATATGTCATGTACATGTAGAAGGTGGGAATTGAATGGGATTCCATGCAGGCATGCCATAGCTACAATACATGAAATGGCTGATAGTGGAGACAATGTTGGGGAGCTTTACACTTATGTCAACAAAGTGTATTGGCTTCAAACATGGAATGAAGCTTACTCTTACACTGTGGACCCTATAAAGGGTAGAGCCATGTGGCCAAAAAGTACATGTCCATTTCAATTAACACCACCACCACATCACAATCAACCTGGAAGACCTAAGACCAAGAGAAAGAGAAGTGCAGATGAAAAATATGATAAACAGATGCAAAATCATGGTGCAGGTGAACCTGAAAAACTTACCAGAAAGTTTGTTAGTGTCAGGTGTGGGAAATGCAACAATAGGGGTCATAACTCAAGGACGTGCAAGGGTCAAGGTGGGAATGCAGGAAGCAATGAAGGAGGGAATGCAGGAAGCAGTCAAGGAGGGAATACATGATGCAGTCAAGGAGGGAATGGAGGTAGCAGTCAATGCAGGAATTAGTGTATTTTGTTTAAAAACTTATCTTTTGGTTTAGCACAACTTTTGTGCATTTGGATGTAATGGTTTAAAACTAGTTTGTTGTAATGGTTTTATTTTGGTCTTTTAGCCCTTTTGGTCATCAAACTAATGTCAACCTTTTGTCATTGTTGAAGAATGATGTTTATGGTTTATACCAACTGTTGGTTGTCATGTTTATGGAACACATTTATGGTTATTACAACTTTTTTCTGAAACAACAAATAAACATTAACATTAGGTGATAACTGCAATACATTGTCATTATATCCTTGAAAAGGGTACAAAATTCTGAAGTTGTCCAAAATAACCCTAAACTGATATTACATTATCAAATACCAAAAACTACCACATTCCCTTGTTACAATTTCATAAGAACAAAAACCCCAAAATTACATGCAACTACAGGGGTCCCTAATTGCTTATTACTAAATGAAAAGTACCCAAACCACCACAAATAGTAACCAACTTGCAAACAAACACATCTTCAATCTTGCCACTTGATAGTTTACATTGTTGATATTCCTCAATAATCCGGGTATTATCAACATAGATCTTGCACACATGGGAGGATCAATCCATCCTAAGAATCGGCATCTGGAACCCTTCACGTAAAAAAATAAACCCTAAACATGAGGGTGATTTTCCAAAATGAGGGTAAAATAGCAAAATCGAACACTTACCTTTTGAGGGCAGGAAAGAAACCTCCGACCAGGGTTTGCTGATGTCCAGGAGGTGCGAACGACCGCTTCCCTACCACAAAAACACATCACCATTTTAATTTTTGATCTCTAAGAAATTGTGAACACAGAGTAGGAAGACTATGAAGCTCGTGAAGTTGAAGATGGAAGAGTGATGTAGCTCTGCTTTTATTTTGAATAAGGTTGCAAAAAAAGTCCCTGTAAGTGGAAAGACGAAAATACCCCCGTCTTTGTTGCATGTAACGGAGTATATGGACGGAAGTTAGTGGGAGGGACCAAAAACAATGGAAAAATCCAATTTTGGACCAGTGGTGCATCAAAGTATCGTTTTGGACCAAAGTCGCATAATTTTGCCAAACACAGGGACCATTTTTGCAATTTTGCCTTTAATAGCATAGCGATTGAATTAGGGATTTGCATCTAAACATATGGTTCCAGGTGGAAGAATAAATAAAATTATTCAGACAATTAGAGTGTATACAGATCTTTTGCCAATTCTTGTATAGAGAGAGATAGCTTGAATAATACCTTGAAATGATCAACAATGGAGAAGGAGATTTGCTTGAGCGAAGACGAAGATCGCCGCCGTATCGAGGAGTGTCGACTGTCGACTGAGTTCTATTTTCGGCTTTTGGTAGTTTGGGCCGAGCGCCTCCATAAGTGTTTAATCGGGGTTTTTTTTCTTCTTCTTCTTCTTCTTTAGGTCCATTGGAATTTGGATTGGTATTATGCACATTCGGGCTAAAATGATTTTATGTCGAATAATTAAAATTTAATACTTATTCACGATAATATAGTTATTTGATATGGAAAAAATAAAAATAAATAACTAGTTGTAATCAAATATGATATAGGCCTATAGGGGATAGCGTTTGATTATTTAAAAAATTCTTATAAATAAAATACTGATGTATAAATTGATTAAAAAAAATACTTTTGGGAAAATAATTTTAAAGGTGTGAAGTGCAAGTTAAAGAAGTCTCTCAAAACTAGCAGGTTAAGAGAACTCGTAAATAAAATACTAATATATGGATAATTTCGTTACAGTTATAAAATTGAAAATTTGATCCGAAAATAAGTAAAATATAGTCAACCAAATAATTAAAATTGATTATTACTACGATGAAATAACAATTACAAAAATATACATCCACATATTCCCTTAAACAATTTCATCTTTGTTATAGTTTTTTAGATCAAGATATTTCAAAATGATAAACATACTTTTTCTGTGAAAACATTGTATTTGATAACATCAGGTCATATGGTATTATTAAGAAATTAAACAACTAATATTGTAAAATATTGAAAGAAAAAGAGCATTTCCATACAATAAAGATTCATATATATTAATATTGATGTATATCATACATTACTATATATTACATATATCATATTTACATAAACAACCACTATGAAATAGATTTATACATAAATATAAACAACTTAAAAGAGTTGCCACAAACACAATACATAATTAATGCTCCAAGTACTTATAGAACCATTCTTCATCCTTACAATAATGGTACATGACATTGTACACCTCCATCAACAGCTTCGGGAACCGACTCCCAAAATAATCATTAAACCCCTCCGGTACACCTCCCAACAATTCCTGTGTCCAATAATCATCAAAACAATCATTAACACAGTACAACCTGTCCTGTCAATAAAAAAAAAGTGATAACGTTCTGTATGTTGAGAAAATCGAACCTGAATTTCTTTGGGTAATTCGCGGTAATGATTTAATTTATTTCGAATGACGCGAAGCAAGTCACGCACACCGTTGTATTTATACCGCCTATACCGACCAATGTTATTGATGAATTCCGGTTCCATCTTTTCATCCCATTTTCCACCCAAAGCCACCGAACCTTTACTTTCCAATTCCCTAAGAAGAACGGAATCACATTCCCGGTCTTCCAATTCCACCCGATCACTAGTATCCCTTAGAAACGACATTCTCACCTCGGAATCCCAAAACAAAGGATGATGCAACACATCCACAGCCCTTGGCCTACAATGCAAATTCTTTATTAATTTAAAACGTCAGAGGACTGAAATTGTAATTTTATAACTTTACCTGAGTTCAGGGTTAGGGTTTAGTAATCTAGAGAAGAGGTCAAAAGCTTCCGGAATATGTCGAACTAAAAAAAGGTTGACTCGGTTTTTGACCACATTCACATCACGTTCAAGATGATCACCAAATGGGTGTCTGCCACATGTCATGCAGAAAAACAGGACACAACCTAAACTGAACAAATCTATCGCACGTGTTTGGCGTCCATGAAGAAGTTGTTCGGGTGCTTGCCACCCTGAACTTCCGGAACCTGACGAAAATAACCCGTAACAATTTACAACGTGTCAAAAACAGCCCGGTTTTTGTAATTAAGTTGGTTTTATCTTCTTACCAGTAGCATGGAGTCCTAATGACAACATGTCGCCAACGAGGCGTCTGCTAATTCCCATGTCAGAAAGCTTCCCACATATTGATTTTTCTTTGACTATTAACACATTGTGTGGCTTTAAATCCCGATGAATGATCCCTAATTCATGCAAATGAACAAGCCCAGATACTATATCCCTATAATAATAATAAACATCAAAGTAAAGATATAAATAAAGTAACACATGTAAATAAAGTACAATGTTGTTGTTATAAATGGTTGGATGTACATGTACCTCATCAATTTTAACAAAATAGGCGAAGGGTATCCATTTGGTTTCCATAAATGAACATCATGCATGATGATGTCACGATTGATTGAATCTAATTCTAAACCCCCTTTCTTCATTTGAATTAAATCATAAAGGCTACAAGCACAACGCTCCAAAGAAAGATAAACAAAATCATGATCATATTCCACTCCATACCACCTAACAATATTTGGATGTTGATCAGAAGCAATAAGATTTTGAATTTCTTTAAATGCAACATCATGGTGGGCCCTCACGAGGCGTTTCACAGCAACCTTACGACCTTCGTATACCCCTTCAAGAACAACTGTTCCATTACTACCCTTTGCAATTTCTTTATTTGACACAAATAGTTTGCCTATAGAACGCCCTTCTGTGTCACATTCGATTAAATGATTAAAATTTAGCACTGGATTTCTTTCACTATCAACATTTCCATCTTCATTGGCATAAATCCTTCCTTGTTTCCTATGCCTCTTCCTTCTAGAAGAAGAGGAAGGTTTTTGTTTCAACATTGCAGCCATTATGGTATGATGGCGATACATAAGACCACCAATGGCAATAATCAGAATGAAAATTACAACAAACGCCATTCGCCCTTCGGAAAGAAAGTTGACTTTTTTCACATCTTGTTGACTAGGGATTTCGGGGTTTTGGGTGTCAAGGTTATTGTTTGAATTGGGTAGTAAAGGTTTATTTTGAGGGAGTAGAAGGATTGGAACTTTTTTTTCTGCTTGTTTTCCATGGATTTTATAAGAACCAAGCTTATGAGATGTACGTAGCCTATGGACAACAGCTTTTGACTGGCATGACAAGGGCATGTTGAAGTCAAAGTCAAAGTCAAAGTCAAAGTCAACACTGGATTTTGAGCGAAGATTATTTGGGAGAGGTAAAGACGGACGAATGATTTTATTTGGAGGTTCTTGACAAAGTAAAGCAACATCAATGTCTGCTACAGTCACATTCCATAGAACTTTGTCAGAATTTGCAGCAAATGATGTGAGTAAGTAATCTGTTCTTGTGAAGGAGAATTGTTTATCAGGTTTTTCATTGACCATAGTTGACTTTTCATTTTTCATGGTGGTTTTTTGGAAGATGAAATTTGAGTGTTCATTGGTTGATGAGCTGTGATGAACACGTATTAACCTTCCAGTGTTAGCATCAACTACAAATGCAGTAGTTTTTTTGGATCCAAGAATAACTCCTCCATCCTCTGATACGTGTGGCATGATTCTGATGAATTCCTCCATGGTCATATCCATACTCTGTAAGTTACAAATAGGTAGTTGAAATTGAATAATAAAGTACATTGTTGATATTGGTAGCAAGAGTAAAGTTTCAGAAATTTACCACTTTGCCAAGATCTGTGTGTGCATACAGCTTCCAATCATCCCCACAGTCTACATAATAACTGCCTTCAGGCACAGGTGCACTTTCCTTATCATCATCATGGCTGGTAGAAGCCTGGTATGAAGAGTAGATTGGAGATCCTGATGCAAATGACCAAATTATCCTCCCAGAATCACGATACACCAAATTGATTGTACCATCCAATGCAGCAACAAGGGCAGTGTCATGATTACTGTTTGGAGAGAGAGGTATGTAAGTGCATGAAAGAGAATTACTTCAAATGATACTACAAAAAAAGTACCCTAATATCATAAATTTGCAAAATTATGTTGAGTGCAGCACTCTGCTTATGTAAGATCATGTTTATCTTGGTTAATTGTGGTAAAATCCTGAACCTTAATTAAAAAAGCCTTTGCACTTGTTAGAATGAAGAGCAAACCCTGTGTAGAGTATGTGAGAGTAAGCAATTATAACATTCATAGTTACAAGTTTATTGCAAAGGAACCATTGTGAATTGCATAGAATTGCCCATTCCAACAAATAAGGGGAAATTGGAGTTATAATAAGTAATATGGGACCAAAATCGAGCCAAGCTGAAGTTGAGAACAAAATTCATGGTAATACTTCAGTTCAACCGAAAGAGCAAAATTTACAGAACCCAAACTACATGGCAGCAGCATGGATCGATATACAGATCTTCACCTTGATAAAGAGGGAAAACAGAATGGCAGCAGGCAGCCATGTGTACATGCATGAGAAGAAACTGTTCATCAACAACCTCAAATTAACGAGTAAAAAAGGAGAAAACTTACTCCGGAAAAGATAACAGAGACCGCCTAGCCGGTGCTTGATTGACTTTCGAGATTTCCAAGTTTTGAACGCTGTCAATCGATCCAAACAACAGCAAAAAGAGCAAGAAATCGGCAAATAAATAGCGGATCAAGGCGTAATTCATCGATTGCGATTGATTCTGATAGCAAACAGGGTTGGATTGATTGTGAATTGAACTCAATTTGCTACCAAATCATAATGATTTAGGGTAAAAATTCAACTTCGTAAGACGACTATGAAGGATATGCAGGGAACGAAGGATTGCCGGAGGAATATTCGAAGTTATATGATATAACAAGAAAAAAAATAAGTTTAATGATGTTTTTTGACCATTTGGAAAAGATTTTTACCCATCTAAGTCATTTCATTTTCCTATTAAGCATTTACTAATTGTACAATCAACCAACTAATTAAATCTATCATATCCATTTCAACAAAACCTAAGCAACAGAGATACTGGTTTTCTGTTAAACCATCACATTTGCAGATGTTTCAACATACAAAAATTTCACAAGAATTTAAACGTCGATTGCAATAATCACTTTTCCACAAGTTAAAACAAAAGACTATACAAAGATTGCAAGATATATGAAATCACAGGCTTCAAGTTTCACCTTTCAACACAGGAAAACCTTTAAACAACTTCAAACACGAAGATTTTATGCAGTTTTTCAAAGCAATTTTCAAATACTCAAATCCAGATATCATCTCAAGTACACTAGTCTACAAAAATCTAACATTCATTAATCAAGATTTCAAGATTCATCATCAATCCAACTCCTTTTCAACCTTAATCCCCATAGATTTAGCTGTACCTATAATTGATTTTGAAATCGCCTCCAAGGACATGTACTGACAATACGGATCTGCTTGCTTCACCTTTGCGATTTCATAGATGTGTTTTAGGGTTAGGGTTGATGCAACAACATGACCTGCACGTCCACTCCCGGAGTCAATTCCGGCGGCTTTTTTTAGAAACCAGGTGACTGAAGGAGAACGAACGCTCAATTCAAAAGTATTGTCTTTGAAAACAGTCACAGTAGCAGCGATTGGAGCTTCCGATTTGTATTTCTGTGTGCGAGCGTTGAAGTCCTTGCAGAACGCCATTAGGTTAACTTTGTACTGACCTACAGCCGGACCTACCGGTGGTCCAGGTCTTGCTCCGCCGGCTGGGATGGTGAGACGGACTGTCGCCGCCACTGGCCGACGCGTTAGAATTTCCTTCAGGGACGCCATTTAACTACAACCCGAACAAGAACATAAAAATTGGAACAGTAAAACGAAAAAACCTAAACGCTAAACTACGAGATGAAGAAATTAAAAGAGAAGGATAACAGAATGATGTATGTGCTTGTTGTGGAGTGTGAGTGGAGTGTGAACGAGTCGAAAAGTCTGATTGAATTAGGGATTTGCATCTAAACATATGGTTCCACGTGGAAGAATAAATAAAATTATTCAGACAATTAGAGTGTATACAGATCTTGTGCCAATTCTTGTATAGAGAGAGATAGCATGAATAATACCTTGAAATGATCAACAATGGAGAAGGAGATTTGCTTGAGCGAAGACGAAGATCGCCGCCGTATCGAGGAGTGTCGACTGTCGACTGAATTCTATTTTCGGCTTTTGGTAGTTTGGGCCGAGCGCCTCCATAAGTGTTTAATCGGGGTTTTTTTTTTCTTCTTCTTCTTCTTTAGGTCCATTGGAATTTGGATTGGTATTATGCACATTCGGGCTCGGGCTAAAATGATTTTAGAGAAAATGACAAAAATAGCCAATTACACTAATTGCATTACAAAAATAGCCAAAAAAAATCGGGATTACATATTTAGCCACCCATTTCGCAGGTGAGAAGGTCCCATCTGCGAAAGTACAAGTGCCTGAAGCACAGCTGTGCTTCAGGCATTTGTACTTTCGTAGATGAGAATTTTTTTTTTTTTTTTAAATTTTTTCGGTATAAATAGGGGTAATTTCGCAGATGGAGAAGGTCCCATCTGCGAAATCCTCGGATCCTATCTGCGAAATCATGCAATTTTTTTTATTTTATTTTATTTTATTTTTTTTTTTTTTAAGTTTGACTATGGAATGAGTTGGTTTGACTACGAAATGGGTTTTGCTATATAAAAACTTTTGTAGAAAAAATATCATTTTGGTTGTTATTTGTTTGTGAAATACTCTCTATCTCTACAATTTGCTCAAAAAATGATTGAATATTTGGTTTGTCTTGTAACGGGTGGGAGATGGCAAGTTAATGAAACTAATCTGGAATACATATGTCCACAGGGAGGTATTTCTGAACTTGCTTTGATATTTTCTGAGTATATTAGTTATAGTGATTTTGTATCTTTGGTAAGAAGCAAAATTGGTTTGTTAGACAAATATAGAATTAGTCTTCGTTTCCACCATCCTGAATTAAATTATTATATAGCTATAGTTGAAGACGTGGATGTTAGAATGTTGATAAACGTAATCAAATGTAGTGGAGGAAGGGCTGTGAAAGTGTTTGTGGTGGTTGATGAAGTTGAGGAGGTTAATGGGGGCGGTGAAATTGGAAACGAAGTTGTTGGTAATTTATGCAGTTTTAAAGGGAGCAACGATCCGATAGGTACTTTCAATACTCCTAGTGTACCTCAGTTTCACAGTGTTGCTGAAAATGTTAATGTTAGTTATTCACCTATTCACTATGTGGATCCCGAGAATTACAAGTATGTTGGTGATGATGATGTTGGTACATATCTTAATCATGTTGGTGGTCGTTGTGATGATGTTGCCGAACAAGAAGTTAAACTTATGAATAGGCGTGTGGTAGATAAAACTAAAAAGAAAAAAAATTCAACTCAAAAAAATGAAAAAAATCATGTTTACGGGCATTATGTTGATGTTGGTGATGTATGTTTAGATATAACCGAGCTACAAAGTAATTCCAAAGATGAGTTGGGTGATAAAGTTAAAGCTAAGTATCCCGATAACCTTTTTCACGGTATGCCCCCTGTACCAGCATGGCCAGTTGATAATAATGAAGATATCCCAACACAGATGGTAGACATTAATCTTCAAAAGATTCAATGTGAGAGTATATTTAAAAACAAAGAACTTTTAAAGCGTTGTATTGGTAAAAAATGTCTTCGAGAAGGTTTCCAGACGAGGACAAGTAGATCCACCAAATCAAGGTATGAAGTTGTGTGTGTTTCGAAAAATTGTTCTTGGTTACTAAGAGCAAAAGCAATTAAAAATGCTGATGGACTTTTCCAAGTGAATAAATTTGTTGATGTACACACATGTTCTTCAACATTGTTGCAACCTAATCATCGACAAGCAAACAAATATGTTTTGGGTGAATATGTTGCTGATGTTTTGGCTGAAGACTATAGTAGAGTTTATCGGGGAAAAGAAATTGTTAATGATATGAATGCTCAATTGAATATCAATATCTCATACCATCAGGCATGGCGTGCGAAGCAATATGCATTGTTGTCGTTAAGGGGTACGAAAAAGGATTCTTTTACCAAACTTCCGGCGTATTGTCACAACTTGGCCAAACATAATCCGGGTACTGTCACACATATTAAAACAGATGCTGATGATCGGTTTGAGTTTTTGTACGTCGCACTCGGTTGCTCGATTAGTATTATCATGTCCTAATTTTTTTTTAATATTTATTTTGGTGTATTTGAATAGATATACAATGTATTGTAGGTACGAGCTTTTGTCAATTTTTGTAAGCCGACCCTAGTAGTAGATGGAGCTCACCTAAAGGGCGAGTTCAAAGGTACCATGCTACTTGCAGTTACTAAGGACGGACAAAATCAAATATTACCGGTTGCATATGGTATATGCAAAAATGAGTGTACTGATTCTTGGACATGGTTTTTTCAAAAATTACGTGATTGCATAGGAAATATGCAGGAGCTTACAATTATATCTGATAGGTCTCCATCTATAGCAACATCTGTTGCCAACATTTTTCCTCACGCTCATCATGGAATATGTGGTGTCCATTTGTATTTCAACATAGTATCTAGATTCGGCAAGAGTAAGACGGTTAAAGGAATTTTTTGGGAGGCGTGTAGGGCGTACACAGTTGATGCTTTTGATGCTGCCATGGATGTTATGAAAAAGACAAAAGAACCAGTATGGGAGTACTTAAAAGTATAAATCCAGAAACCTGGTCAAGGGCACATTTTAAAGGGAACCGATACAATCTTATGTCGTCCAACAGTGCGGAGTCTATAAATGCATTATCTAGACACGCACGTAAGGTGCCAATACTTATGTTGATTGATTTTTTTCGTGCTACAATGCAACAATGGTGGTTTCAAAGACGTAACTTTGCAGGTATTACGTAAATTTGTAATATTAATGTTTTATTAGTTTCGATGTTATTGATTTAACTTCTTCATTTTGGCTGTTTTTTTAGCGGAAGCAACAACAACACTTACCCCTTGGGCGGATGAAGTTGTAAAAGAAAACAAGAAAATTTTTACCAAATGGGATGTTCGCATGATCTCAAATACGAAATGCGAGGTCAAAAAGGGGGCACAAAATGTGATTGTTGATTTTCAAACATATGACATGTACATGTAGGCATTGGCAACTTGATGGGATACCTTGTGGTCATGTCATAAGATGTTTAACAGTGAACAATTATCAAGACTGCTCGAGGTTTGCATTAAATGCTTACTTTACCGAAACACTGAGGAAAACATATGAGGAATCAATAAACCCTCTGCCGAAGCCATCCGAATGGGAGATCCCCGATGATTTGATGATTGTTAAGCCACCTATAATGGATAAACGTCAGCCAGGCAGGCCAAGAAACACAGACCGCATTCCATCCCAAGGCGAGGGTCCAATTATAAAAGAGTGTTCTACATGTGGTCAACTAGGACACACGAGAAATAATTGTACTGGAAGGGCGTCTGGTAGCAGAGCAGGTCACATAATTTCTACTGCAGAAATGACATATAATATTGGTGGTTCAGCGGGTTGCTCACAAACCCATAACGCTGATTTTGATATAAAACAACCTTGAAATTAAGAGTAATGACGAGTTGTTAGCTTATTATGTATTGTAATATTTTTATTAACTCTTACAAGACATTGCTATGCTTTCATATTTTAGTTAAGTTTGTTGATTATAACAATGAATGAAGCCTTTATATTATAAAATATAGTTTGCAGATTTATTTTAACAGTTACAACTTTATTTTAAAAAAAACAACAAACGATCCTTTTGCAAAAAACGATCCTTTTGCAACCTAATCATGATAATATAACAACAATTTTGTAACTAGTTTTTAATAAACTTGATCTATAACCGGTATTTATACATACTAGACAGTAATGACAAGTCCAACTTTAAAATGACTAGACAGTAATGCCAAGTTACTGTAGTAACCTGCAAATCGTAGTGGAACCCTTAAGTGACATGACATAAATGACAGTTTGACATGATAAATCATTGCATAAAGCTGAAAATCGTAGTCCAAATGTAACCATTTCATAGTCAAAGTTTTAATTCGTAGTCTATTTATTTATATAAATAGATGTTTAAGTTCTAAGAACCAAACACCCAAATCACCTAAACGAAACGAACTCCCATTATTAGAAATGTCGTCGAATGCAGCAAGTTCTTCGAATGAAGTACCTGGTTCCAATTCTGAAAGGCCATGGACGACAAACGAGGTGTTAGTTCTAACACGTTGCTGGCTAAGTGTTAAGGATGGTGTATCGTTACTTGCTCCCCCGCATTGCCTAATTGGTGATGGATGGACTCGCATAACATCTTTGTTTAACCATGAGATGGGAAAAGGACAAAAAAGAGGAAAATCAGATGTTGTTACTAAGTGGCTGGATGTAAAGGAAGAAGTGACATGGTTCAATCGAGCATGTAATTATGCGAAACGTAACAATGTTCGTTATCGGGATGAAGAAGAGTTCTTGGAAGTTGTTACAGATTTTTACATCTGTGAGCATGACGGCAGAGACTTCGAATATGAGGAAGTTTGGAAGGTTGTTAAAAATAAACAGTATTTCATGTAGACCGCTCTAATTTCTGTTAAGAATAACCCATGGACTTGTGTTTTACGTTAATGCTTTGTTCGTATTATGTCGTTGTTTTTCATGTAATTGTTGTAATGGTTCATGGAATCCTTGTTAGAAATGTATTCTGATGTATTGTGAAAACCAAGGCTGTAAAAAACGCTCGGCGTTAGCTAGTCGGTGGACTGGGGTTAAGCGATTAATCGGCTAGGCGGAGATTAATCGGAGGATTAATCGGGGACCATTAATTGCTAATTTGTTGAATTTTAAAAACCTAAATATGACTAATATTATATTAAAGTTCATAAATACCACTAATATTATAACAAAATAGGTTAATATGATTAATACAACACTAATCATGCCTCAAATAGTTTCCATTGA